GACAATAATTTTGTTCTAATAAGATTGATTGATTGTCTTCATCTACATTCGTGAAGGATCAACCCAAAGTTTAAGCGTCTTCGGTACCGATACGTTTACGGCATCGGCGTTTCCGAACGGGCTTCCAATCATACCGGAGAAATCTGGGATACGCTCATCAAGAGTGTAAGAAAAATTTGGTTTGCTAAACTGAACCTTACTGACAGCTTCACGAGATCTTAAACTCATTTTCATACGTTAAACACTAATTCAACCCAGGATTTGGAAGCTAAAGAAGTCATTGCTATGTGGACGGAAGAACATTGTTATCCGTCTGAACCTGTTTTCGTGGCATACCCGGGTCGAGAAAGTGATGAAGACGATGGAATTTTATTGAGTGTCATATTCGACGGAGAAAATTTAAAAAGTTTCTTGGTGGTGATTGATGCAAAAACGATGAAAGAATTGGCTAGGGCTGATTTGCCTCACGTCGTGCCGATATCCTTTGGCCACGGGGAATTTAAAGAACTCAAAAAGGAATAATTTATTACATACTTAATGCTAAATCTCCATTGGTAGTGATAAAACAGATTCTTAATATGGTCAGAACTAACATACTGTACTTATCGTCATTCTATACTTCCTGACATTCTTGAAATACCATGTACAGTGCATTTTTAATTCATAAATGGATTTGGTTTCGAGTTTAAAATGCGCACAATGTCACGAAAATATTGCTAAAGATTCTCGTCACTGGTCCCTCGCGGTCAACAAAGATCGATTTTTCTAAAATTCCTCAATTTGACCACCCCAATAATTGCGGTTATAGCCAACGCAGTCCAAGCACAGTACACTCATTCTTTCCTTGTTTCTGCAAATAGTTTTATTTTTTTGGAAGAAACTAGACAGGTTAAGCACGAGCTGTCCATCATGTCGCAGAAATCATAATTTTTAACAAGGTGACCGTAGGGAGTGCAGAATTTTAAAAAAATTGTATAAGACTTGCTTCGCATGATCAATCCACAATGATGGAGAATTACTAGTAATTGGCAAACCCACATTTGCAATGTATAAAATTGCAGTTCACAAGGGAAAAGGTGACCTATTGAACTTTCAAGACATCGTTGCATCGTTGGCAAAGAAAACCTTGCTCGGTCGAGGAGTAATTCCAACATCTAGGGCATTTGTGCATATCGGCTCCTTTCACAACAATCTTACCAGACCCGCTAAAGTTACCCCCCGTGATGTTTATGTTATTAGAAAATTGAACGACTTTTTCCGATAAATCATCAATCGACGGTGAAGCACCTTTACTCAGTGTGGTGTTTGATGTGATGAAAATAGTTTTGAGGTCTGATCATTGGCGCGCACGCAGAAAAGTGAAGGAAATGGATTTAGCACTCGTCACACGTGCATCACGTATTGAATTTGACACGTACCGTGTTTCTGAAGTAAATCGTATAACGTGGAATTTACGTACAAATCCACACTTGCTTCTAATGAACTCTTGATTAATCTTATTGGTCACATTAAATAAGGTATTAAGGTTAACTTATTTCGCATCATCTAAAATTCAGATAACTTATTAACATCGTCTTCCATATACTTTTTACTCCTCGCCACTTCCAACAATTTGTTGACTTCAGACCTCAAGTTTTTCAGAACTGTCCATTCCTCTGAGATCGATGGATCATTCCACCGTTCGTCCTGAAATAATTGGATAGTCAGCATGTGAAAAGCAATTTCGGTCGGCATGAGCACGTAAATTCGAACTTCAACTTACTAGATCATACCACCCCGATTTGAATAAAGTATCGTATCTTTCCGGTTCAATGGTTTTGTAATTTTCGTATATCTCTTCGGCGAGATGCGGTACTATCGGAGCTATCGATCTTGTATATGCATTTATAATCTTAAATAAAATTAGGAAAAAGGTAAAAGAAGCGAGGTATAATTCAAAAGGTAAAGAAAGATATGTCAACCTACATGGTATAGAACTGATTGAACACTTCTCCTGCTCAAGCTATCTACGTGATCTGCATAAAGCCGATCTTTCACCATGTCGAAATAGAATGCCGACAGTGTCACGCTTGAGAAGTTATTCAAGGTTTGGACAACTGTTATATGAAGATTCGAAGTGAGTTGTGAAGTCGGCGGGAAAATAAGGGAATCGCCTCATTGACCTAATGAAATTTTTAATTTGAAAAAAAAAAAATAATAATAAATAAATAAATAAATAATTTCTGACCTCGATTAAATGCAAAATCTTCGTATCCAGAATTAACGGCCTTCCCGAATTGGTAAAGCTCATACAAAGCATATTTGTCAACCTATTTCAACGTGGGTATAAAAGAAGGATAAATTTGTCGTAAGCATGTGCAAAAGAATAAAGGTAGCTGCTGCCGTTATAATTACAACTCACTTGAATAATTTAAATCAGATGTATACCAATTTGAGGTCCCCATATTCCACCAACTTATCATAATTAAAGCCATTCAAATTTCCTAACATAAATCTTGCGGTATTTCTGTACCTTCTTACTGACTCTGCGACTTGAACTGATCATGTAATAATCAAATTTTACCCGGGGTTCGAAAGCTCGATTGAAATCATTTTTCAAAATATTCGGTCCCACTAACTCATTACGGTGTTTCCGATGTTTATATCTTTGACGTATTCCGACGATGCAACCCAAAGTCTTAGCGCGTCTGTACCATACGCTGGTTCTTCCTTCTTGTTCTGAATAAAATTATGAT